TTATTAGTTGACTCGAGAGTCAATATTTTTTCCTCTATTTTGTCAGGTTATTATATTATTATTATTCCCTTTTTATTATTATTCTTATTATCAATGATTATAATTACTTTATTATTAATAATTAGTATTATTATTATCATTAAAATTAGTATTGTTATTTAAAAAAAACAAAAATTATTATTGTGTTTATTATTTTTAAGAGAAGTTTGACCAAGTCAAAACTAGGGTTTTTGACCTTAATCCCAGCGGCGGCCTCTTCCTTCTTCTCTAAGACTTAAAGCCTAGAACAACTGAATCCAGAAAACCTAATTGTAGAAACGAGAATCAAATCAAAGATTAGGAAAATAGAATGAATTTGTATTGATAATGATTGATTTATACGAGAAATCATCCAAGTACATACAAACCCTAATGTAAGCTACAACCAAATCTAATCAAATCCTAATATATTCCTAATTTATATTTCTAACGGAAATCATAAACAAATTTCCTAATTCATCTAACCCTAATCGAACCTACAAATGAGAACCCTAATTCTAATTGAAAGAAACAAAAAAAGTTGCTACGGAAGAAAATCGTAACAGAAACACATAGAAGGAGAATAAGAAGATCTGGGTTTCGAAATCTGAAACCCTAGATCCGATTCGTTTCACCTTTCTGCCTTCAAACCCTTCAAATTGTTGCAGATACTTCCATCATCACCTTCGTATGATACCTGCAAAACGAAAGAAGAAAGAGATCAGAAGCAGATCCAGAAGAAACCCAAAAGAAGAACATCAACGAAATCGCTGCGAGAGAGGTTACATCTGACACTTAACTTAGGGCTTGTATGATTCTTGTTATGTTTATTATTGACCGGGAATTGAACATTGGGGTTTTTTTACGGCCACCAGCGAGAGAGATCAGGGTTTGGAGTAGCGTTGATTTGTGTTGTTGGAGAGAAGAGAGAACAGAAGAGAAAGAGAGAGAGAATGAGTGTTGAAATGAAGGAAAATGGAAAAATAAAATAGAAGTTATATTCCCTTGCAATCCCATGTGACACACGTACGATGCACCCTCACATTCTCCATCCTCTGATCTTGATCAAGCGTCCCTAAAATCGCATACACACGATAATACCATGCACCTGCCCACACGCGGTCCAAACGAACCTCCCAGTATTCAACATTGGGCCAGGCCCAATTACTAGCCACGCCTCTGTTTTTTTATTTTAACTAGTCTGACTAAAAAGCACCCCCAGTGTAATGGGCCAAGTCCAACATCTGGACTTGGGCCCTTACTTCTTGTATCCTCAGTTTTGCTACCTAGATCAAATGTTCACCCCTCCAGCGTCTTGGGCCTAAATCCAATAATGAATTTAGGGCCGCGTTATTCTCATCCCCAGGTTTTATTGCCCAGTCTAATTTTACACACCCCTGCGTTTTTTAAATAAAATTAATTTTTATAATTTTATTTATTTATTTAAATTTTATTTATTACATATTTTCTGCATGTTAATAAATTGAATATTTTTTAATATTTATTAAATATTTTTAATAAATTCTATTTTTTTTATTAATTCAAATTCTTTTTTTTAAAATACTAACTCTTCTTTTTCTTTTTTAATATTCAATTGCATTAAAATATTTTTGTCCATGCATTAAAACCTATTTTTCTCATAATGCATAATACATTTAAAATAGCTAACCAATCAATTACTAACAATTTTCTACTAACATAATTAAAATTTATATGTTTTCAATAAAAGATTATGGAAATTTCTTTTATCGACTGTGAACTTCGTCTATAACTCCGTAATTTACAAACTCAGACTGGATTCAAGGAGAACTCGAGATATTTTCGTAATCCATAAAAAAAATTAACCAAACAACTATGAACTACGAATTGGGACTCATATTCCTCATTAGAGGATACGTAGGCATACGATTTAAAAATTGTGTCGAGTTCCCCTAATTAAGATTAAAAATCTATTCCTAAACCATAAACCTAAACCCTGGTATCCTTGTGAACAAGGTAGATGAGGGGTGCCTAACACCTTTCCCTCGTCTAAAAAGAGTCAACAACTTAGAATCTCTGGTCAAATTAGGGTTATCCATTATGTTTTCTTCCCTAGGATAAAAAATTAATGGTGGCAACTCTATTTTTAAACTGGTTATTACACTATAATATAATTCAGTTAATGAAATAGATCACTTTTTACAATTATAAAAATGTTGTATTCTTTCTCTCTAAGATCTTCATCATCAACAACGATCCTTTCACAATAGAAAAAGAGGTTAGGGTTATAATGTGAAGACAAGCTTCCGCCAATTAATTCGTGTTTTGATGAAGACAAAGAAACTAGCTCAAATACATTATCAAAGAAGGAAAAAAGCTCAAAGTTTTAAGGAAATCGTTTGTAATAAAACTTGGTTCTCAAGCGATCAACGAGAACATAGAACAGGGGTGAATTAATCTTGAGCATAAGGTACAAATTGCAATTATGTTTTGTATAACACTTTAGAAGCTAAAAAAATGTTTTTTTTTCATATCTAATCATCTATACATGTTTTGAAAATATTTGGATTGAGACTATGTTGTTACAATTATTGGACATTTTTCAACAATTGAAACCGATTACACAAAACCTATAACCGGTTATAGGCACGAAAGTTTCAAATATTTTTTAACCGCTACAACTTTAACCGATTACACAATATTGGTAATCGATTACCATTGAATCAGTAGCACTCTTTCTATTTCATTTTGAATCCAACTTTTCCAACTTTTGATCATCAATCATGGTAATGCTTCATGATATTGTACTATTTTCAAAAGGTACATTTAAGATATAAATAACTATGAATTCTGAATTTCAAATTCACCTCTTCCGATCATTACAAATTCAAATCTTTCTTATTTTCAAAGTGCCTTGAGCAAAAAACTTTGTGAAACTTCTGCATAATTTTTAACAACACTAATGAACGTTTTATACTCAAAGTTCTGAGCACTTAAAGTATTATACCTTGTGAGTTGTACATTTAAAAGGGAAGATCAGTTACTATATAATTGATTCAAGTGTAAAAACTTCTTCATCTATTAAATTCTGTTTTGTTTCATCACAAAGTATAAGTGGTCATTGTATTCAACTGATAAGTTATGTATTTTCTCTTGTGTGTTGAAAAATTAAAAGATTGTGTGCTTTTGTGAGTGTGTTAGAAAGTAAAGAGAATCTAATGAATCGATTGTAACGTTCTAACATAGTAATATATCTCAGGTGATGTGAGGGGACTAGACGTACCATTATTTAGAAATGAGAATTAATATATATCTAGGTGTTCTTTATTTTTTCTGCATTTACTTTCTGCACTTGATCATTCATAACAACTCTAGAAAAATAAGAACAACATTATCATCCCTCATAATCAAGAAAAATTCAAAAATACCGGTTAATCTAATTTATACCCCTCTGAGCTGAAATTGATTAAAATGCCAATTGAATTAGTTTAAATGATCAAATTCATAAATTGATTGATATTCATAAAATCAAAACTCATTATCATACACAAAAAAACTTTGGGTCTTGGTCAAGACACATTGCTTAATGATGCAACAACCGTCCAACTGAAGAACATATAAAAACAACCAATAATTTAGATGTGAAATCTATATTATTTAGCGGAAAATATAAGTTTTTGGAGTCAAATCAAAACTGACAAAACGACAGTTAGTACATATGTGAACTGTAACTCATAATTCTAGAACCTCCAAAACCATCTATTCTCATTCTACTATCCAAGGAACAGAATTTACATTACATTACATTCCTTAAAACCACTCTCAGACTCACTTGTTTAGTATATTATTACATGTGAATTATGTGTTCTCTCTTTTTTCATGTCAACATTGATATGTCATAATATACACATAAAGAGTTTTAAAAACAGTTGCGGTCGCGTCGCAGTCGTGTTAAGCCTTTTACTATTTCAATTGGTACATATGTCGTGATTGTAATCATCGTAATGTAAATTAATTATAATTTATTCTTTAGTATAAAAACAAAAATAAAATATTGATATTTATTGATACTAATTTGTCATAGCTGTTTTCGCATACCGTTTTTAAAACCCTGCATGTACACATCACATTAAGGAGAACCAATCATCACCCTCCATTTGCCAAATATATGTGTGATCATCAAGATACCGTATGAATTGAGAGTGAGAGGAGTGCTATAGTCACTATAGTGGGGTTACATAATTAACATCTCCGTTAATCACTTCACATACGACATTATTAATTGGAACTGGTTAGATAGCTTATCGTCATATTATTAACATCATATCATTCAATATTTCCTTTTCTAGCCTTTTCCTTCTTTTTCTTTAACCAACAACAAAAACAAGGACTTTTTCATCATACAAACGAGGGCAATTAACCACCTGCATGTCATTAAAACATTCGTTGCCATAACAGGAAAAGTGAAACTCATAATTGAATTACCACTTTTCTGTCCTGAATGTCACCTCGGTTGTTAATGCTAATTCAATTGATAATTATACTGAGACATTAATAATAAAAAATTTCAATGACCAGAATTTGATTCTCGATTAAAAAGAATATATTAATATAACAACAAATTTATGAATGTCAGTTCAGTTAATATCTGTGCATAAACAACGTAAATGAAAAAGTTAAAAGATAATATAATAATTAACATAAAATTAAAAGATAATATAATAATTAACATAATAATCGCTCCGTATAAAAAATGACTTTTTCTCTCTTATTTACTTATTTATTAATTTCTAACAATAATTACAATTAAATTGAGAGAAAAAAATCCACACAGACAGACACAAAAGGCACAGCAGCATACTCATAACAGAAAAACCACAAGTGGCTGCAGAGACACACCAAAGAGAAGAAGATGAAAAAAAAGAAGAGATTTATACAGAACTACGACTTAAGAAATAGAAAGAAATGAAGGACTTTATAGTAAAATCAAACTCATCTGAAAACTAGCCATAGTTACTGTAAACTTCACTCCAAAGAAAATCTTCCATGGTATGCAAGCAAGGAGGCTGAAACATCCAGGACGCATCGATAGAATCAATTAACACAAACTCTTTCTCGAAATCACCACTGTTTCCGAGAGTAGGAAGTTCGATTATCTCACTCAATTCGTAGGGCGTTGCGGAAGAAGGAAACTCCATGTGAGCGGCTTTGGTAGCAGCGGCTTGAACGTCGCGGGGAGAGACAGAAGCTGGCCTGGGGAGTGAGTTTGCTAACTCGGGGAAATTGAGAATGGCAGCATTTCCTTTGATGCTGAGAGCAGCGACGTCGTGAGCTCTAGCTGCCATTTCTGGAGTTGGGAATGTGCCGAGCCATATTCGGGATTTTTTCTTGGGCTCGCGGATTTCGGACACCCATTTACCCCAGTTCCGCATACGGACGCCGCGGTAGAGTGGATGCTTGCTTGTGTCTCTAATGCGTTTGATTTTTTGGGATTGTGATTGTGATGATGATTGTGGTGGTGAACCGTTTGAGATGGTTTTGGTTTCTGAGTTATGAGTTTGTTGAATAGTAGTACTCATAGTTTGGTTTGGGAAGAGAAGAAGTAAAGGTACGTTAATGTGGCGTGGCGTGACCCTTTTTTGTGTCACTTGGCAACGAGACTTATAAAGGTTGAGTTGAGTTGAGTTAATGTTGAGTTGATGTTAGAAAGAGTAGTTGTTTAGTGTAAAGGACTAAACGGACCCACACGTAAGGAAAATGGGTCATGAATCCAGATCCCATGCAACTAGTATTATTGTGCATTGTATCGAATCTACTGTATAATGTTAGATTAAGAAATGATATCTTTCTCTTAATCTATTGTATAGTATAATGTACAAAACTCAATATAATGGTTAGGGAAATATTATTTTGATAACACAGTAATATGAATTTTAAATTAAAATAATATTTACAATAAATATTTAATATTATATTTATGGTTGTAACTAATTTGATATTTTGAAATTTTAATGTGTGGGGGTCACCATACCCGGCAAGCTTACAACAAGTGGTACACGTACCGCCCTTGTTGTGCCACACAAAATCTGGCCTCTCTGTGACTTTGCTGTCTACTTATATATGTACTGCTCTTGTTTTGCTTCATGTTATTTTTTTTAACTACTTTCCCTGTTTCTCCACCCATATTACCCTATTCCTATCACCCATATTACCCTAACTATATCTCACCAATTTCTGCAGAACCATAAGGATTTGGATTCTCTTGCTTTGTTCAAAAGGATGTAATGTAATTCTAGTTTATCACCAATTTGTCACTTAGAGTCTGTTTCTCTTAATAGAAATATAAGAGAGAGAATTAGAGAAGAGAGAAAGAGAAGAGGGGTTATAAAACTCTTCTGTTTGGTTTGAACAGAACTTGACAAAAGAGAAGGAATAATCATGGGTCCCATTGCTTTTACATTCTCCTGTGGTGTAAGAAAAAAGTGGAGAGAGAACACTCTTTAATTTTCTTTCCACCAATACTCTTTTCAATTGTTTCATAAGTTATCATTATTCAAATAATATATCTATTTATCTCCAAACGAAAACAACCACTTGATACTAAAAAATTTTTTTTTTATTTAAAAAAAAAAATCATATTTACACACATTGGACCCTAAAACATATAAAAAATTATATATAGTATTTCTATTGTTTTTTCTAACAGTGAAGTATATAAATTAGAGTATATTAATATTAAATTATTTTAACATGATAAATTAATTTATTATAAAATTATTATAACTTATTTAAATCAACATAAACCATTTATTTAAATAATTTATTTATTTTAATTAAAATTGTAGTAATTAAATTAAAATAAAATACTCAAATTAATTTTAATAAGAAATTATATTTAAATAATATTATAGATAAGAATATTTTTGTCTTTGTACAAATTATACACATCTCTTTCTCTTTTATTTCTATCTTCTTTCTCTTTTACCAATCAATATATCAAATTTATTTTATTTCTCTCATTTTTTTATTTTTTCATACTCTTTCTCACTTGTTTCTCTCCTCTCACTCTCTCTTCATTGCCAAACATAGCCTTAAAGTTTTGGTACATATATATGATGGTATTCTATGGTACAATAATACATAATGGCATCAACAAGTTTGATTAGTTAGTGGGATTTATAAAGGTTGATGATGGAGTGATAAGGACCCGCTAATAGTCTCATTAGGGTTTCATTCATGAACATGTACTATACTTTTTATATTCTCAGTTTAATTGGCTTTTTAAGTTAAAAAGAAAAAGTTTTCTTGTGGTTTTCATGACCATAACTTTAGGGATAGGGATGCTGTTTTCTATTATGTTAGGTGTGATCACTTATTTGTAAGAATTTGATTTTAGGCCATCAATTAGGAACAAAGTGCAAAATTTATTGGATTTCTTAAAAAGGATATTGGAGACTTTATAGGAAGATTTAAAAAGATTTGTTCTTATTTTTATGAGAAGATCTTGCAGTTATTTTTAACGTGAAGATGAGATTTATTTTTGAAGAGTCCAAGCCCATAATGCAGGAGTCTATAAAAAGAATTTGTATGACCTAAAATAGTAAGCATTCACAACAATAAACTATGGGTGCAACATAAGAGTTTTGGATTTTGAGAGTCTTTTAAGTTTTTAGTGTTTGTGTTCTTTGTGTGTCACTCATGTATCTTTGATGCATTGAGTTGACTGATTGTTGCTTGTTTATCAAGCTATTATTCTCACTCATGAGCTTTTAAGCAAAGAGTTGAGTAATGTTCTTAGTTGAAGCTTTTAAACAAGACTAAGTATTGTTTATTGGAAGTGTAATCTTCTTTTGGGATTTTAAGTCTAGTCACAAGGTTTTTAGCTATAGGTATATCACTGCAGTGATTGAAAGTGAGAGGGGGGTCTCATATCTAGTGGTTTCTAGGTAGAAGTTACACAAGATAATGATTAGGTGAGAAGTTTGCAAACTAGGATTGGTTTAGCTTTGAACAAATATTGTCATAGTATATTTCCTTCTTGGCTTGGTAGCCCCCAAAGTAGGTTACGTTGCATTGAACTGGGTTAAGAATTGATTGTGTTCTTTAAATTTCTGCAACTTATCTTTTTGCACAATCAAAAGTTTTAGCAGGTTTTCTGTCAAGAAATGTCCTAACATATGTCATGACATCGTGTTTCTGTGTAAAGACTTTAGTCTTGACCTTTGTATTGCAAGTGCCAGAATTTCAATTGGCACCAAAGTAGGCACCCTGTTATGTCTATTGAGTGAGCTCCAAGGAGACTATTTTCTTGTACTATGGATAAAGAAAGAGGATACAACAACATACCACCTCTGCCACCTCTGTTAGATGGTTCAAATTATAATTGGTGAAAGGTTATAGTGGTAGATTTTTCTAAAGTCCATAGACAACAAAGCATGGAAGATTGTTTTGAAAGGATGAGAGCAACCTTTTTTGAAGGACAAAGATGGGAAAGTAGTGTCTTTAAAACCAGAAGAAGATGAGGATGATGAGGATGATAAATCAGTTGTTGGAAATTTTGAGGCTTTGAATGCTTTATTCAATGGAGTAGACAAAAATGTGTTCAGGATGATTAATACATGTAATGTAGCAAAGCATGCTTGGGAAATTCTCAGAACAACATATGAAGGTACATCCAAAATAAAAATGTCAAGACTTCAGCTTCTCACTACAAAATTTGAGAATCTAAAGATGAATGATGATGAGACCATATAGGAATATCATATGAAGGTTCTTGAAATAGTTAATGCATCTAGTGCCTTGGGAGAAAAGATCAGAACAAAAACTTATTAGAAAGATTCTTAGGTCCTTACCTAGAAAATTTGACATGAAGGTAACTGCTATTGAAGAAGCTCAAGATATCAACACCATAAGAGTTCATGAACTTGTTGGGTCAATTCAAACTTTTGAATTGGCTATTAGTGACAAATCTGAGAAAAAGAACAAGATTATAAATTTTGTTTCTAATGCTAAAGATGAAGATGATATGAGTACAAATGAAGGTATATCCAATACCATTGTGTTACTTGGAAAGAAATTTAACAACAATTATGAAAATAATGGTTTGAAGAGGAAGACCAAATGTTTAGAACATCTCTTATAACATCAGGAATAATGAGGATTTTCAAAAAAAATCCAGATTTGAGGACAAGACCAATCAAAGCAAGGGTATTTAATGCTATGAGTGTGAAGGTTTTGGTCATATTAAACCAGAATGTCCCTTTTTTTCTCAAGAAACAAAAACCAGAATTTATTGTGTCTTGGTCTGATGATGATGAGTTAGAAGATGAGGCTAACAATGAAACTGCAAAACTTGTGGTGACGCTTTCAGGTAGATAGGTAGATAAAGTAGAAGCTTATAATGAAAATGTCATCTATGAAGACCTTGATGTATCCTACAAGGATATTTGTGATAAGTGTGAAGAAAACCTTAAAACAATATAAGATTAGAGGAAGATTATAGCTGAATTAAAGAATGAAAAGAAGAAGCTTCTCTGTACTATTTCACCTCTTCAAGGTGGGGTATCTCTCTTAAATTCCAAAACATGTCAGATTCTTTGAAGAATATGAATAGTAAAGCTGATATGGTAGAAGAGGATGGAGATCCAGAAGTTGATTATCAGTATGATAATAAACAAAGAATAATGTCTGAGAAGAAGTCCTTTCCTCCTAAAAGGAAGAGAATGATCAACATGTATAACAACATGTTACAACATCCTGACACACATGATGAAACATTATCCAGATTCCAATCTTCAAAATGAATATGTCATTATTGTGGTGAGCATGGCCATATCAAGTCTTTCTGTTATAAATTGTATGGAGATAAAAAATATTTAGTTCATTTTAAGGCTGATCAAGTGAGCAAAAAGAGAAGTTTTGAAAATATAGATAGTAACTTGATTGCTCATACTTCCTTAAGAGACTCAAATGAAGAAGACTGGTACTTTGACAATGGATGTTCTAGACACATGACAGGGGTTCAAAAGTTATTGGTGAATATTAGGCTTCATCCTACAGGTTTTGTCATATTTGGTGATGAATTTAAAGGTGAAATCAAAGGAGTTGGAAATTTTATGTGTGATGGTTGTCCTAGTTTAGAAGATGTGTTGTTTGTGAAAGGATTAACTGCTAATCTTATTATCATTAGTCAACTGTGTGACCAAGGTCTATTAGTCAACTTCTCAAAATCAGAATGTTTGGTCAAAGATGAGAAGGATGTTGTTCTGATGAAAGGTGTAAGGTCTAAAGACAATTGTTATTTGTGGAAATCTCAAATAATTGCTTACTCATCTACATGTTCAAAAACCAATGAGGATGGAGTGAAGTTATAGAACCAAAATGTTGGACATCTTCGTTTCAAAAGAATGACGGAAGTTATATCTAAAGGAGCCATTAGAGATATGCCATAGCTCAAGATTGAAGAAGGGAAAGTTTGTGATGAGTGTGAAAGAAAAAAATCAAATCATGATGTCACACCCAATGTTGCAACATCAGACTACTTCCAAAGTGTTGTAACTTCTTCACATGGACATAATGG